ACTTACTACCGGCTATGCGGACCAAACTCACGCTCCTCTGGTAAAGGGACTGAATGGCCCTTAACAGAAAGCCACCCACCCCATACTCCTGGAGCGTCCCCCACAGGGTGCCCCTGGGGACACGGTCATAAGCCTTCTCCAAATCCACAAAACACATGTGGATTGGTTGGGCAAACTCCCATGCCCCCTCCATCACCCTTGCAAGGGTATAGAGCTGGTCCACAGTTCCACAGCCAGAACGAAAACCACATTGCTCCTCTTCAATCTGAGATTCAACTATCGATCGGATCCTCCTCTCCAGTACCTTGGAGTAGACCTTTCCAGGGAGGCTGAGGAGTGTTATCCCCCTATAGTTGGAACACACCCTCAGGTCACCCTTCTTAAAGATGGGGACCACCACCCAGGTCTGCCACTCTACAGGAACTGCCACCGATGACAATGTTGCAGAGATGCGTCAACCACGACAGCCCTACAACGTCCATAGCCTTGAGATACCCAGGACGAATCTCATCTACCCCCGGGGCTCCGCCGCTGTGTAGTTGTTTGACTACCTCAGCAACTTCTGCCCCCGAGATTGGACAGTCCATCCCCAGGTCTCCCGGCTCTGGTTCTTCCACGGAATGCGCATAGGTGGGATTGAGGAATTCCTCAAAGTATTCCTTCCACCGTCCAACTATAGCCCCAGTTGACGTCAACAGCTCCCCATCCCCACTGTAAACAGTGTGAGCGAGGTGTTGCCTCCCTCTCCTGAGGCGCCGGACAGTTTGCCAGAACCTCTTTGGAGACGATCGATAGTCTATCTCCATGGCCTCACCAAACTCCTCCCATGCCCGAGATTTTGCCTCGGCCACTGCCACTGCTGCACCCCGCTTGGCTATTCGGTACCTGTCTGCTGCCTCCGGAGACCCACAGACCAGCCACGCCTTGTAGGCCTCCTTCTTCAGCCTGACGGCTCTCCGAACCTCTGGTGTCCACCAGCGGGCACGGGGGTTGCCACCACGACTGGCACCGGCCACCTTGCGATCACAGCTAGCAACAGCTGCCTCAACAATCGCAGAGTGGAACAAGGCCCACTCGGAGTCAATGTTCCCCACTGCTCTCGGGACGCGGTCAAAGCTCTGCCGGAGGTGGGAGTTGAAGACCGTCTTGACAGGTTCTTCTGCCAGGCGCTCCCAGCAGACCCTCACTATGCGTTTGGGTCTGCCAGGTCTACGCGGCATCTTCCCCTGCCATCTGATCCAACTCACCACCAGGTGGTGATCAGTTGACAGTAGGGATGGGTACCTTTGACATTTGAATCGATCCGGTACTAATTCCCGGTACCTAGGAATCGATACCGGTACTTAACGGTACCAATTTTCGATACTTTTGAGTGTTTATTATTTTAATTTTCTTTTATAATTAAATATATATTTTTCTCAATATATCACAATATTTGATAAATATCACGATAAATAACATACAACTGTTTGTATTTTAACATCGTCCTTGTAGTTTTATAAGCTGATAATTAAACTGAAGCAAACATCTTTACTGTGAACTAAATTTACTGTGTATCTTCATTCCTTTTACCGTCCTTTTTCATTTGATTTTTCCTACTGGGAAGTTAGAATTTCCGAGGAGAAAGCGAACGCACCATTAGCTGATAACAATGGTGGCAATGGAAGCTAACATACAAAGTTAAAGTTATCTTAAATAGTTTATTTAGATGCTGGAGCAGATTAAAACGATGATGCCTCACACTTAGATCATTGTCACTGGTTTCGTCTTCACCTGTCACATTTAGTAAAGTGAAGCCAAACTTTAGAGCGCGTTCATGTTCTTCTAGTCGGGAAATTCGGAGTTCCGAGGAGAAAGCGAACGCACCATTAGCAAAACGGAAGCTAACATATCAAGCTAATTATATTTACCTACCGGAGCAGATTAAGATGAGGATGTCTCACTTAGATCGTTGTCGCTGGTTTCATCATCACCCAGTTACCCATCACATTTAGTGAAGTGGACCCAAGCTTCAGCGTGCGTTCTTTCTACCATGCTGCTCTGTTTACAACTGGCTCGCAGCAAGCGACGACATAACACTCTTGTGCATGCGCAGCTGTCTTGGCAAGTTCTCGTTATGATGGACGGGTACCGAAACGAGGCACCGTTTGAAATGACGTAAATCGGTGCTCGGTCGGTACTGTGGAATTTGGTCGGTGCCTTAAAAAGTACCGAATTCGGTACCCATCCCTAGTTGACAGCTCCGCTCCTCTCTTCACCCAGGTGCCCAAAACATACGGCCGCAGGTCAGATGATACGACTACAAAGTCTATCATCGACCTGCGACCTAGGCTGCCCTGGTACCAAGTGTACCGATGTGCATCCTTATGTTCGAACATGGTGTTCGTAATGGCCAAACTGCGGCTTGCACAGAAGTCCAATAATGAAACACCACTGGAGTTCAGATCAGGCGGGCCGTTCCTCCCAATCACACCCCTCCAGGTCATGCTGTCATTGCCCACGTGAGCATTGAAGTCCCCCAGCAGGACAATGGAGTCCCCTGATGGAGCACTATCTAGAACTCGTCTCAGGAACTCCAAAAAGGGTCGGTACTCTGAAGTGATATTTGGCCCATAAGCACAAACAACAGTCAGGACCCGTTCCCCGACCCGAAGGTGCACGGAAGCTACCCTCTCATCCCCCGGGGTAAACCCCAACACACAGGCACAGAGTCTTGGGGCTAACAAAAAGCCAACCCCAGCCCTCCGCCTCTCACCCGGAGCAACTCCAGCAAAGGAGAGTGTCCAACCACTTTCAAGGACTTGGGTTCCAGAGCCAATGCTATGTGTCAAGGTGAGTCCGACTACATGTAGCCGGTACTGCTCAACCTCTGCCACAAGCTCCTGCTCCTTCCCTGCCAGCGAGATGACGTTCCATGTCCAAAAAACCAGTTTTGTTGTCCGGGGATCGGACCGCCAAGGCTCCCGCCTCGGTCTGCCACCTGATCCACACTGCATCGGACCCTTCATGTTCATCCTGCAGGTGGTGGGTCCACAGTTGGATGAGCCCATGTATCTGGTTCGGGCTGGGCCTGGCCCGGCCCCATGGGCGAAAGCCCGGCCACCAGGCGCTCGCTCACAGGCCCCAACCCCAGGCCTGGCTCCAGGGTGGGACCCCGGTAACCCTCCGGGCCGGGCACTCTGACTCTTTGATTGTACATCCATGAAAGGTCCTCTGAACCATTATATGTCTCACCCTTCACCTAAGACCCATTTGTCATGGAAGACCCTACCTGGGGCACAAAGTGCCCAGACAACATAGCTCCTAGGATAATTAGGGCACTCAAACTCCTCCAACACGATAAGGTGACGGTTCAAGGAGGAGCATTTATACTTGAATATAAATGTTTTGTTAAAGACACTTGAGCCATTGCCATGCCTTCTTCTCTAAATTCCCACGCAATGGATCATGGGTAACACACTTCACTGAAGTCTGAAGCAATGCGGCTCAGCAAAGTGCGGATCAAAGGTGCAAAAGGGGTGGTGCCAATGTCTGTGGTGTGTGTGTGTGTGTGTGTGTGTGTGGGGGGGGGGTCCTTCACACCAACTAACTTAAAGTCCTCTTCCATCTTCCACCACATCTCCTTTTGGTCTTCCTCTCAGCCTCCTGCTTCTAACCTCAGCATCCATCTACCTCTGTAACCACTGTCCCTCTGGACATGTTCAAACCATCTCAGCATGTCCTCTCTGACTTTATCTCCAGAACATCTAACATGAGCTGTCCCACTGATGGACTCTCTCCTGATCCTAGCCATCCTCATCACTCCCAAGGAGAACCTCAACCTCCAGTTCTGCCTCCTGTCTTTTCCTGATGGGCACAGTCTGTAAACTAGGCAACACGGTTGGTCCCGCGTCTGTCTTGTGATTCTTTAAAACATTTTATCAGTAAATTAAATGTCATATTTGTGTTGCACTACTAGTAATGGTTCAGTGTATGCAGCCCTCAGATCCTCCACCAGGGGGCAGAAGACATTCAAACATCACTGGTTTCTGGGAAAAGTCCTAACCTGTTTACAAAGGATGGACAGTGGAGAATGAGCAGCTAAGAAGCAGGTGAATGTACCTAAATGAGTCAAACCAATGATGTGTGACTGGATTAGTGATGGGAATGATGGCTCCGTCCAGCTTGCCCATCAGAATCGGCTCCTGGGTTTAAGCCAATCTTTCATTGTCGGCTCTTGGAGCCGGCCTTTGGCTCTAGATGAAAAGCAGTGTGGGAATGAAAAGAGACAGCTCTCCTAGAAAAGCCGAGAGTCACAAATCCCATCAGCAAAGATCACAAAGTGTCTGACACCTCCTCACTCAAACAAGGCGAAGGTCATTAACCCTCATGCTGGTGACAAAAATGGCAGAAGGTGGTGGTCAGAGCTGGTGTTGGAAGGCTGCATCTTAGCTCAGTGTTCCCAGATTTAGCCTTGAGGACCCCCCACCCCACCCACCCCAACTCCTTCCCACATACACACATTCAATGTGAATAAGCAGTTGATGGTTTTTGTCCTGGTTCTGTTTTACTCTGAAAGGTGTGTCATTCGGACAACCTCAGCACCCGTTGGGATCTCCACTGACCCCCCCTTGGGGAGTCACGGACCCAATGGGAACCACTGATGTGGGCGATGAGCAGCAGGTGTGACATCTGAGGGATGGAGGTTCCACCAGTGGGTGGTGTTCAGGTTCAGCAAGCCCACAACAGAGAAAAGGAAAGACACAGGAGGCTGCATGAGGGTGTGGTTGGTAGCGCCTCTACCTCGAACCAAAACGGTCTTCCTGCGTGGGGTTGGATGTTCTCCTCATGCATGTGTGGGTTCTCTGACTTCCTCTCACGGACCACAATTATGATTATTCATTCCTTGCATTTGTAAATCCAGCTGCGAGTCACTCTGGATGATAAACATGAACGCTGATGTAAATGTTAACTTCACACTGCTTTAGCTGTCAGACACAGAAAAGGAGAGCACCACCGTCTCAGAACGAATGCGTATTTATTGTGTCACAATAACATTTTTAAACACGTAAACAGATCAGAAAGCAGGCTGCTCCTGCCCGCTGAGCAGCGACTCGTCTGTTAACAGAAATACTTTTATTTGCAGCTTTGAGATCATTTGTGTTGGAAACACTCTGATCATTAAACTCACACATCCTCTAAGTCTCTGCCTTCACAACAGCATCTACCACAGCCTGCTACCCGCACGAATGTAAAGAGTACCACAAAGTCACGGTAACCATAGTAACAAAGCAGTGACAGCTACTGTACCTCTCGTCACAGATGTGTTCTCACACTGAATACAAACACACCCTCTTCATTTATCCCTCTAACAAACGTGTGTGTGTGTGTGTGTGAGAGGGTGCAGCAGGTGCTCATGATGGTGGCTTCTGAATGACAGTCTTGACCTTTTCAACCGCGGGTTTCCTCGGGGGAGTTCAGTGATTCCACAGAATGACTCATATTGTGTTCAGATCACCCAGTGCCCCCGCCCGCCCCTCCGCCGCCGGCAGCAGACATCTTGTTACCCTCCCACTTCGTTCCTCTGTTCAGCAACCACCTCAGTCCCTTCAGCCTTCAGTAAATCAGAATGAGTTCTGCTTCATGAGATGATCTTTGACTTGTAAAAACTGGAGAGTGAATAATTTGGTCAAAGTCCAACTACATCTGGTCAGAAACAGGCTTCAGCTTGCCCAGAATAAACTATCTAAAGGTGCTTCAATGTCTGAATGGATCATTTAAAGAGGTCCTTCACTGAGAAACCTTTTTACTTAATAGTTTTCAAAATGATCCCTCACTTTGACTTTGTCATGCAGGCTAAACATAAAAATAGTCTCCTACACCCGTCTCCTGCAGTACCTTCCTCTATTTTCTACTTTTCTAGAAAATAGATGGTGCTCAGTGTCCGCCCTCAGACTGGGTGATGAGGGTTCAAATCCTAGTCGGGTCATACCAAAGACTTTGAAAAAACAGGGACCCAATGCCCCCCTGCTTGACACTCAGCACTTAGGGGTTGGATTTGGGAGGTTAAACCACCAAATGCTTCCTGTGTCTGCAGCTCCCTGCTTCCCCAGGGGAGTGGGGAACAAATTTTGCACACACATCAGTGTGTGACAACTAAGGGGACTTTAGCTTTAAACTAAGGATTTTAAAAGGCTGACAGATCTACATCACACTGTCACTCAACATTCATGGACTCACCCATTTTGACTCACAACGGGGAAGGCTGTTGTTGGTTTAGCGTCCAGGAAACAGCAGAGAAGGTGTAGGCTAGTGGAAGCTAACTGTTAGCGTTGGCAACTTACTCCACCAGAAGCTCCTTCAGGTTTCAACATTGCAGAGCAAACAGTCAGTGGTAGAATCTCATTGCTGTTAGCCAATCAGAGGAGAGATGCCCAAATATCAGGAGCCGGAGCCAACACAGACCGGATTGGGTGGCTTTTAAAGTGTTCTAGGTGGCCTTGTATTTTTCAGTGATCAACCAGTTGGTTGTTCGGCCCGCATACCAAGGCCGCCAAACTGGTCCAACACACCCACTGCCACCTGACTGGCCAGCTCAAATACACACCTTCCATTAGGGGAAGCTTCCGATTGGTGGATACAATCAACCAACGGGAGCTTTGCGCGTACGCCATTCGTTATCATTCTGCATACTCAGAAGTAAACGTCGCCTCTGACTGAAGCTGCTGCAGCTCACTGTCTCTCCTCATTGCTTAGGAACACACACACATGCACGCACGCATGCACGCACGCACGCACACACACACACACACACACACACAAAGAGACAGCACTGCTCTGTCTTGAGTTGCACAGCCGTCATTTAAGGGATACACCACCATGGACACCAAAGACTTTTCTGCGTGTCTTTTGTCCCGCCCGCATGCTCGGAGATTTCCCGTTCCTGAGAAGTGTGTGTGTGAACAAACCGGTGCAGGACCCTGACGGACACCACCCAGCCCAGTCCATGCTGGCCCAGATGGGAATCCAAATCCTGCCGTCTGAAGCTACTTTCTCCTCAAGCTGAATTCTCTGTGCTGAAACAGGTGCACCAGAGCTTTTTTTCCCCCAGAGTTCAACTTAAGAGGCATTCATTCCTACTATAGACAACTGCAAATACAGTGATCCCTCGCTACTTCACGGTTCGTTTATCGCGGATTCATGACTTCGCGGATTTTTGCTTTGGAGCCTTATTCAAGGGAAATTCGCAGATTTGCGGTATTTTTCACAGATTCGCGGTATTTTTCTATGCAAAATATCAACAAATACCTGTTTCTTTCATCAATTTCATCATAAAATGCACTTTTTGTAATAAAACTATAAAAAAAAAACAAGTAAAAAAAATTTCTTGAGTTTTACCCACAAAAAGAGAATGTGATCATACGATAATTCAATATAGTACTGTACTGTAAATATGGTGTCCCTACTTCGCGGATTTTCACCTATCGCGGCCAGGTCTGGAACGGATCTACCGCGATAAACGAGGGATCACTGTATATTAAAATATAAGTGAAGAACTTTTTCTAGTTTTCTAAATGTTATGTGCATCTTGCACCATGAACGTTTCTTGGTTCTGATTAAGTTCATTTTCATTAGCACTCATCTAATTTTAGTGAGGATCTCCATGGCAGTAGCAGGAAGAGACGAGAACTCCCTGATAGATGCTGAGGCCGAATATCAAAATTTCTGGTGGCCAAACTAAATAGAAAGCTGCTGCATTCATCTGCACCTCCATATCAAACATAGATCCAAACCAAAATGAAACACCAACACTGACTTAGTGAATAGCTAATAGCTCTTCGACGCCGGTGTAGATCTCATGAACGCAAATGGAAAAAGGACAATTTAGAAATTTCCTTACAAATTCTGAAAGATTCTCTATTTTTGTATCAGAAAGCGGTGAGAACAGCCAGAAATAACTTCTTTAGTAATTTAATCACAACACATCTTGGTGATCAATGTAAACTATTTAGTACCATTAATTCGGTTCTCTCTTTAAAAGATGCAACTACACCCTCAGTGCCAACGACGTCCCTTTGTACCGAGTTTATGAACTCTTTTCAGCTTAAAATTCAAATTTGCTGATTTGACACATTTAAAGAGCAAGTCACATCAAAATCAACTTTTTTTTTGCTGATAATTTGTATAAATAAGTGTGTTATAGTGTTGTAGATATGTGTAGTTGTTATTTTTGTATTTTGGTGCATTTTCTTTAAAAACTTAAAATGCTGCCTAAACCCTTCAGTCCAGCGCCCTCTTCAGCTCAAAATTATTCTACACAAATTTACAACAGCAGTTTGAAATCTGTCTCGACCAATGGGTGAAACTTCCCCAAGAAATGTAACCAAGTCCGATGTAAGGAGTCAGACCTCTGTGGCTGTAGGCTATAAAAGCATCGCGTCTCAGCCAGGCTCGTAGCAATGGGCTCGGATTAGCCGCAAGTGACTGTTTATGCTGCAGTTTAGCTGTAGTTAGCATTAGCATTGAGTCAGGGTCCCAGCAAAAGCTTCTAGAATTATGATTATTGAGTACTAGTAGCTTGGCTGTTAGATTTTGTAGTTTAGTATTTTTTACATATGACTCTTTCACCAACTTGATGGAGTTTGAACCGGGTTATGCTGGGTTGAAGAGCGTTTCACAAATTAGTCCAAGCCGTTCCAGTAATTAGCCGGATCCCGCCGACTGCCGCTTCCCTAAAACGGAGATTTTGGGCACAATCTGAGGTGAGTAAGCTAAATAATTACTTTCAACAGCTTCTAAAGATCGTTCCCTATCAGTAAGTTTGCAGCTATTATTGCTGTATTTGTAATAATCTGTTGGGTCGGCTCCGGTGGTTTCAGTCAACTCACAAGCTCAAAACAATAAGGCTCAGGTCCGCTTGTCTCCTCCAAATAGACTTGGTCCCTTTCTTCTCGACTGTCTGGGTGAGGAGGGGGAGAAACGTCCTCCACTTCTAATGACTGCTCAGAGTGAAAAAAGCTAGCTTCTCCTCGTTACCCATCCATCTTCGTCACTGCTGCGGCTCCGCCCTCTCGGTCCGCCAGGCAACGCCTACTTATGTTGCATTTTCAAAATTGATGTGTGGTTGGAACAGGACTCTGAGGCAGGCTTGAAGAGCCCTTTAAGCATTTTTGTGATGCAGAAGCGAAAACACCAGGAATCTGTGGGAGGTAAAAACATTTTTATAGCTCTGTAGATGCTGGAAATTACTGGAAATGAGCTAAAGAGCTTTGACAAAAAGCAGAAAGCACTTTCATGTGTGGGCATTTAAGTGAGGGATGATGCTTTTCTAGAGCTGTTCGAGTGTTGAAACATCCTGTTTATTCAAACAAATAATGCAGAATTAAGGTCAATGGGCTGACTTCGACTACATCTGTGAACGGTGATAATCTGTTCTGATAACAACAAAAATAGAAACAAAACACCAACTGTTACCTAAAGAGCAATGCATGTGGGTGTTTGAGCCACCATTCAGAGAAAAGTACAGGAACCAGTGAAAAGGAGTCCCATCCTGAAACACTAAAACACCAGAGTTTCTTCCTCAGTTCACAACTTCTCAAAAGGTCAAACCAATTTAGATCTGGAGCCAAATCCCACTCAGCCTCGCATTAACACGATTCCTGATTAATGTCAGCGTTGTCTTCAGTGGGCTAATTATAAAGTTCCACCCATGCACAGACTGGCATGTTCACTGCAAAACAGCTGTGCCTACACAAGGATGGCAATTATTATGGCTCCAAAAAAATCCCAAGATATGTGATTCAGGGTCGAGCTGTGATGTGCATAATGACTCTTTCAAACATTTACTCGTAAAGAGAAATAGTGACCTAGCTGGAGTGAAAAGCAGAGACAAAATAAACAGAATTTTACATTTGCGCAGCGTTTTCAGCAGGCTGCAGAGCTGCGTCTCCAGTGAATCCGTCTCAGAGGGAATGGTTGGAACCGGAAATGCACGCTGCTGTAGAATGATCATTTTGGTTTTTGAGTCTGGGTCGGCCCTTCGTCGGGCTCTTCTCTTGCCTACATGATGGAGCACGTGAAGCCACAGCACTCCTTCAGCAGGGTCAGACCAGTTTTAGCAAACGGGGAGGGGTTCTGCTGAGTTCTGATTGGGCCTCTTTTTGTTGACACACCTCAAAAACACAGAACAGGAACACATTAAGAAGAAAAGCACATTGTAATCTGCTGAATGCAGCAAACCTAATGATTAACTGTAAAAAACAAAAACAAGTTTTACATTTTTTCCTCAAAGTCTCAGAACTTAAAGGCACACTTGGCAGTTTTGCCTGCTTTTAGCCCCCCTGTTATTAATTCTCTGTAGTCAAACTGAAAGCCTCTGTCTATCTCCTCGCTCCTTAATCTAACAGCTGAAATGTCTCCCAGCCTTCCTTAGTGTCTACAGGAGTGATTCATCACCAAATTAAACTAATCAGCAGTGATCGTTATCTAAAACATGCAGAAAAGGGCTGCAACCAGACTAAAGCGCCAAGTAAATCAACTCATTTTATCAAAGTCCCAGCAGAGAGGTCCACTAGTCTGAAGTTGCAAATGTGGTATTCTGGCCACGTGGGGCGGTAGGGGTCTGAGTGACATTTCATTAACCCTGTAAAGCAAAAAAGTCATGCTTAAAGTCCATAGGGGGCCACAAGAATGTGGTTTTCTTCATTTTAAAAGTGCAAACATTATTTTAGGGAATTTTTTTATTCGCGCCCTTCAAAATAAATCCAAAAGAGGCTAATAAGTAAAAATCTGAACATGAACATGTTAGAAAGTGTCGATCTATTTCAACATCCCACATGGAGAGACAAAATTCATCAATCTAAAAATTCGAGTAGGGGCCACACAAAATTGCTCAGAGGACCAGAAATGGCCCCCGGGCTGCAGATTGGACATGCCTGCTGTGAAGGGTCCTTTTAATTCAATTCAAGTTTATTTCTAAAGCGCCAAATCACGACAAGAGTTGTCTCAAGGCACTTCACATAATAAACATTCCAATTCAGGTCAGTTCATTAAGCCAATCAGAAATAATGTTTCCTATATAAGGAACCCAGCAAATTGCATCAAGTCACTGACTAGTGTCAGTGACTCCTCATACTAAGCAAGCATGCAGCAACAGTGGAGAGGAAAACTCCCTTTTAACAGGAAGAATCCTCCAGAGGATCCTGGCTCAGTATAAGCAGCCATCCTCCACGACTCACTGGGGATGGAGAAGACAGAGCACGCACACACACACACACGCACGCACGCACACGCACGCACACTCCTTTTAGCACACACTGGCTCAAGAAAATGATTTAAAAATATAAAAATATTGCAAAGTGTGGCTTTAATAACTGTGTTGTGATAATCCAACCAGCGGACACAGAGGTTAATCTTTTAAAGCCCTCTGGGATGAAAACCTGAATCCACTCCTTTTTTTCTTTCTGCATTAAATTTGTAAATTTGTAATTTCCTTCTGGGCCTACCTGTCTTCTTCATATTTCTTGGCATTCTGGACTTGAGAAAATCTGCCATTTCTTTATCTTCTTCTTTCTCCCTGAAAAAAAAATCAAAAGAAAATATATTTTTAATAATGATTCACATAAACACAAAACTGCAAGCGTCTGAAAAACATCTGATTGTTTTGTAAAAAAAAAAGAAAAACTAGCCTTTTTCAAGCTGACTTTCTTCAATCGTGGTTATTTTACGTGTTTGTGGTTTGTTTATATTTTTGTTTTTCTAGCTTATTTGTGCTGGTGGCTTTGTGCATTTGTCAAGCTTTATTTTCACTTGTGTGGCAGAGACAAGAGTGAAATAAAATGAGTTTTTATGCTGCGATGGATGAGGAACAGAGAAGAGCTGCTTACACATCTGAGACAGGAGGAGGGGAAATAAGGAGAGCTGTGAAAATGAACAGGAAACCAAACTCAGAACCAGAAAGCAGAACAAAGAACTAGAAATTAAACAGAACATCAATCAGACAAAGGTCCTAAAATATGTGTCAAATGAGACAAAAATATAAAAAACCTTCACTTTTTGACAGGAAATTGACTAGAAAACAACAACAGAACCTTTAACACGAAGGCATCAAATCAAAAAACATGTGTGCAAAGTGAAAGAACAAGTGAGGATGAGCCACAGGAACACATTTCCTCTCCCACATCGATTAGCAGCAGCTCAGCGTGACACTCAAGAGCTGTGTTTCCATTACTGGAACTCCAGGGTAGTTCCTGGGACTTCTTCCGGCTCTTGGAGAGTACAGACGCTTTTTTCCTCCTCTCCTCCCTATTATCTCTGACCCCGGGTTTCCATCGGAGCCGTCAGCAGCACGTTACTGCAGCAGCACGTCTTGCTCGCGTAAGCTGCTGCTTGGCCCTTCCCACGAGACGCGAAGCAGCAGGGGAGCAGCTGTCACCGACCGAGCACGAAGTCACACGAGTGACTTCGTCAGTAAACACAACAACAAGCAGGAGAAAACTACAACATGGTTTGTGTTTTATGTTCTGTCCGTCTTATAATCGCCAATACGGACCTGAAAAACAAAGGAGACCGCTAGCTAGGTGATAACTTCGCACGGGGCCGCACAGTTAGTAACCTTTTTTAAAAGTAAAGCAACCGGAAGGCAGTACGTTCTTTATTCTGACAATCTCGGTAGCTTCGCTCCGTTTCCGCGTCCGATTTCCTGTCTTTCCTTCCCCAAAAATGTCGAACTTGACCCGTTTCAGAGGCGTCGCGCGTAGAAAATAGAACCGGCGCGTAAAGGCCGCGACATGCTGCTCCTGAGACGCGGCCGACTCGCGCTGCTGACGGCTGCCGACAGCTCCGGTGGAAAAGGTTCTGTTGACCACAGCAGTTCCTATCAGCAGCTATGACGTGCTGCTGCAGTAACGTGCTGCTGACGGCTCCCCTGGAAAGCCGGGGTTATCCCAAGGCTCTTTGACTGTCTTTGGGTGTACGGCGCTTCTGCGTTTTTTCTGGAAACTGGAACTTATTAAAAATGGACCTGGTCAGTTGGTCTCTCAACGCGATTGACAAAATTCTTTCAACGACGAGAACGGGAGAAGGGGCTCCCGGTTGCCCCTCTGGGACAGAGCCAGCTGGGCATATCATGGACTCCTGGAAACAGTGGAACCTGATCTGCCTCTCTCAACTGTCTGTAGAGGATTCTGAAGACGTCTGGATATTCGTGGTGTTGGTGTCAGGTTTCTTGCCTTATGGCCTGAGCGGTTATCTAGCTTACCGGAAAATTAATGAGCTGTCGAGGAATATTGGCTCAATCCTGGAGCTCAGGGATGGATTACACCGCGCTGTGGATGCACAAACTCATATAATTGTCGAGATGAGTCGTAAGCTTGGAACTATGGCTGAGATTCAGACTCTGGCACAGAAGGTGGATGCCATCAAGGAGCGAGTTGAAGGATCAGCACAGATTGGGATAGATTAATTACGCCATTATTGGATTTAGAGGGGTTTGGAGACCAACAGAACTTTAAGACAGAGAGGAAATTATCTCTGTCTGACCCCAAAACAAGTGCTTATCTGAAACTGGTGCCCTTGAGCCTGTGAGGCTGAAGTGAATACTCCCCCCTCAGAAGAAATGTGGAAGGCTGCCGTTGCCATGGCAACTCTGCCAGCCTGGGCGGGATTGCGACCGGTGAAGGCCCTTGAATTATTTCCAGGAGTCACTGTGCTCTCTAAACCCAACTAACTCCCTCCCCTGTCCAAACGGGGGTGACGAGCGCTGCTCATTGCGGCTGCACGCACTGATGTGTGGAGAGTCCCCAACCCTACCTCCCCACCTAGTGGACACTTATGCTGTGTAATGTCTGAAGTCTGTTGCATTTCTGTCAGAGGTGTTTTTTGCAGAGCAAAGCTGCCCTCCTGGTGGAGGGTAACTCTGAAGTGCCTTTTTTCCCTCCACCTGAACCAATCCTCATGTAAACCCTCTGATCTCTATTAAGGTGGCGCGACTCGGGTTGCGAATGACCACAGTCACCAATTCTTGTCATGTGTCTATGCCCATGTATGTCTGATCTCTGAATTGTGTGTACTGAAACTCTAATTTCCCTCTGGGACTAGTAAAGTATCTTTGAATTGAATTCAATTTGAATTTGAGATAGGATGTCCCAGTCCTCTCAGCTGTTGTGTCTCCATTCAAATTCGGCCCTTTCAGAACTTTGCACAGACGTCAGCACATCGAGACTGCTTTGGCAGGGAGTTATGTCACTGATCAACCCCAAAAAGTGCCACAATAACACTAATAATATTAAAAGCATTTATTCTGTCAAAGTATGTCATAATTAATCCATTCAGAGGACGAGAGCTGCTGTGTGATGTAAAATGGTGTATTTTTACGGCGCTCTGTGAGACAACAAAGCCCCGTTAACGATGTCTGTGGGGGAATTTCTCCGTGTTTTCCAGCGTCTGAAGATAGATTTTAAAAGTGATCGGTGCTTATTTTCCTTTGCTTCCAATCTGCTTCACCAGCAACTCATTTAATTTTACTAATGCGGTTTGTTTTGGATGACGTCTGCTTATGTCCTTTCCTACTGAGTTACAACAGATCAGCGTGAGTTAACCAAAGGTTTCGCTCAGCCACTCCACCGGGCCCCTCTGAGTACCCTGAGCAGGTACTTAGAAGGTTCCTGAAAATGGGCATTTGGATGGCCCGGTCACTTGGAGGCACTCCACGTGGGGAGCTTCCTGTAAATCTACCCTGAGGTGGAAACAAAGCTAAAAAAAAAAAAATATATATATATATATAAACAAATACGTAGGCAATTATCATCATTTTACAGCTTGACAAAGACAAAAATTTGATTTCTGATCAAATTTCAGGTCATTCTGAAGTGTGTTGATAGTTTTTAAACCTTATCTTACCCCATGGGTAGCATCCTGAACAGATACAGGCTTTTGTCCTACATGACTGACGGGCTAACTGATAGTCTGGCAAGACCAAATTGCCATTCTGCCATCTTGAATCAGCTCCAAACTTCAAAACTCCACAGCATTTATTGATTATTATTTAAGTGTGAAAATCAGCAGCAGCAGCTTCTTGTGTATCCAGGGGTCAAGTAAGTCACTGAAGAAAGTATGAAGCAAAACTATTGTCACATTTTCTAAATTGGAGCTTTAAAAAAAAACAATGGTGGAAATCAGCTTTGTAGGTGAATTTGGATCATATTGGTCAGCCTAACAAGGCTGTTCCACTGGACACGCAAGTGTGTCAAGATGTGGAGTTGTAGTTAGGACCCAAATGCAAGTGATAGCAGCCACAGGATGCAGGTAAAAAATTAAAAATGAACACATTTATTTGAACAATGGCAGGTAGGAAGACAATATTAGCTATTGTTCAATAACTTTTCAAAAATATTCCACATTAATCTGTTTTTATAAAAATATACTACACTGTTTAATAATTGTGAAATATTCTGTATTTTTGAACACTGATATAATGTTCTAAAATTAGCTAGATTATTCTAAAGTGTCTAATAATCACCTATATTATTCAAAACTGTTGTTTATTTAACTTTTTCATGTTATTTTAATTTGGGATTTCTTTTACCAGAACAAGGCCAACGTCCATGTTTGATCACTTCATTTTCTCTGATTTTCTGCATGAAAACACATATTTTTGAAACAAAAATACACTTTGGTTATGGACTACAATAAAACCCTGGGGTTGAAATAAAAAAATATTTCAATGAGTTCCCTATAAAGGGTTAAGGAGTTCCTCATGGATGTTGTCTTGGCCCAATCTTATTTTATTGTTCATTTCACGTGCGTGTGTGTGCACAACATATACAACAGACCCCCCCCCCCCCCCCCACACACACACACACACACACACAAGGTTTAGCTTCATTCAGTATTGTGGAGTGTGAAGATGAATCATCTGAAAAGCAACTTTTAAACAACTCCCCCTTGTTCCATGAATGCTGTTACAAGAATTTTACTGAATTTCACAGTATTGTGGTCAATTATTTTCTCCTTAGTTTTATTATAAAGAAATCATAAAACACAAACCTGAGTCTTTCAAACTCAACATCATCCACCAGGAAATCTCTAGTCTCCACCAGTTTGTGGATCTGCTGCAGAAGTTCTTCTTCTTTCTGCTGGTCCTCGTTGGACTTGTCATTCTCTGGAAGGGTTAAAGCAGATGTTCAGGGTTTGTCCCAAATGTGATTCCACATGGCTTACTTTCATCAAGACAGATTTTAGTCAAGAGAAAATTTATAATAAGGACCAAAGAATAGACTGATAAACATTGGAGACAAACATCTACCAAACCAAACCCAAAGTTCCAAACTTCTTTGCTAAACAGCAAAAAGAGTCTATAAATGAGTTTTCTACCTGTTTGATCTGTACAGTAACAGAAACATGTTTGCAAGTCTAATAATACAGAATTTTATACTGTTGGTTATTTCTAGTTAGCTGTGGATTGAAAAACTTTGGACTCTATAGCCGCAATTCAAGTAGTACCTACTCACTCAGCATGACTCGAATTGGTGGAGCTGACTAGAGGGTGGAGTCACTGTTGCTCCAAAGTTATCTGCCTTGCATCCTGCCTCCTTTTTTGAGTTCAGAGTCTGACTAAAAACCAACGAATGGTGAAAGATTAACGTGTGCGCCATTGTTGTTTTTGTGTCACATGCAGATCACTTTCCACTACTTTTGTGTCACGAGTCACCCCCTTCTAAAGACGTTCTTTATTTTACGAAGTTGGAAATATTAAGTACAGTACTCTCTTAGATGTTCGGGCACTGAATTTAACAAAGTATGTGTCACGGTCTGCCCCTGCCTCCCTGACTGTGTCTCTCTCCTGCCCTTGATTAGTCCTTATTGTTTTCACCTGCCCCTTGTTTACCTGCCCATGTGTTCCTCATTTTCCCTGTGTATTTATACCTCCCTCCTTGTACCAGTCTTTGTCAGATCAATGTATTTTTTTGTCATCGTTGTCTTGTGCTGTTCGTTCCCGTTCCATCGTTAAAACAATTTTACTTTACCCGAAACCTGCATCTGTACCTCCTGATCTGCTCCACCACACTTGGTTCATCATCTCCACACCCGCAACGTGACAGTATGGCTACTTTTGTAATTTATGTGATAACTTTAAAACTGGATTTTACCCCCTAACACCTACACATCATTCTCCCATTATAACTACTACTGTAAAGCACATATCAGGTTTAGTTTATTTATATATGCTACTGTGTGGTTATGTAAGATGGGGTGAAAAATGTAAAGAAATCGTACTTAAAAAAAACTTGAAGCAATTTTACTCAGACGGTCCCTGATCAGATGGGAAGTCTCGTAAAACCTCTCAAGATCAAACATGACTTTGCAGTAAACAAACATGGCAGAGGAAGTGGGTGCAGCATGCTTCTGTCACCTCTTTTTCTGACAGGCAACACGTCACATTCAACAGGCAGCATGGCTGTTTGTCCTCAATATCAGGCTAGGACAAGAAACAAGGTGGCTGAACGGTAAAGCGGTTGTCCTTCGATCCGAAGGTCATGGGATCAATCCCGAGGCCTGGCTGGCCACGTGCCGAAGCCTCCTTAGGCAAGATGCTGAACACCAAAGCTGCCCCTTGGATGTGATGCAAACTGCAGCCCACTGCTCCTAATGTAAGGCTGGGTCAATTCAGAGAAGACATTTTGCCAAGGGGGGCAAAAAGTGTGTGTGTGTGTGTGTGTGTGTGTGTGTGTGTGTGTGTGTGTGTGTGTGTGTGTGTGTGTGTGTGTGTGTGTGTGTGTGTGTGTGTGTGTGTGTGTGTGTGCGTGTGTGTGTGTATGTGCGTGTGTGTGTGTGTGTGTGTGTGTGTGTGTGTGTGTGTGTGTGTGTGTGTGTGTTGGCAATTATGGTGTAGAATCCAGGGATACAACACATGGGTGTCCTACCTGGAATGGACACTAATTTCTGGAGCTCCTTCTTCAGACGAGTGATCTCTTTACACAACTGAATGTCGTCCATCCTACCCAGGGCGATGGCACAGAAGAAACACACGTTAGTAAACATCGTCACAGCTGAACTTTATGGTGACTTCTTAGAGGCCGTGCACATCTAAAACCAACAATCATCTCATCCAGGTTTGATCATCAGTTTGCTGTAAATATTGTAGGTTTATGCATCACAGCCCTAATGGAAACAAGGAGGAGGTTCAGGCTCACGAAGCTCAGTCAGATGAAACCAAGCTGTGTCTCTAGATCTTTTGGGACTTTTGGAAAGACATAATAGTTAGCATCACATCTATGAGTGTATTTTAGGGGGGATCAGGTGGACCGTGTCCCCCCACTCTTTCATAAAACTGTTTTGGTCCATTCATGAGAAATGGTCTAAACCAGAGCTGAGCCTCTGACTCAGCTCTGAAAGGGACAAAGTCAGAGCAGAGATTTCAGAGACCAAATTTATTTCACTGTTTCTGACATCCACTTTATTTCACCGGCTTATTATAAAACCACCGTCAGTGGATCGGTACAGACACTGAAGCAAAGTGGAAGATTGTTTCACTGTCCACAGGAAAACAATTGCGCCCACATTTTCAAAGTTAAACACGTTTCTTTTAACAACGGCAGTTTCTGCTTCAGCCCTCTCCCCCCTCCCCCTGCTTCAGCCCTCTCCCCCTCCCCCTACTTCAGCCCTCTCCCCCCTCCCCCTGCGCAGCGGCCGCAAACTCACCTGCAGCCTCTCAGAGTTCCTGCTGCTCTAAACACTAAAATAATTATTTCATTTTCTGTTCCTCACTTCTGATTACCTTCAATGGTGTCTGTGTGTTGCAACCACCAGGTACAAAAACTAACTTGTTTTTATTTGACTATTTTTCTGTCCTGCCTGTTTATTATCTTCCTGCATCTCCTCTCAGTCCTAAAGAGAAACTGCTACCTGGGTTCATATATATTCACCTTATGAGTTACCTTTGAACTGCAGTTCAAAAGATCTACCGACCGCTAAAACTGGGGAGTGCTCGCTGTTTGGCGGCCGCATCAGTGATCGGTGCGTCACCGGAGGACAAGGTGATGTGCCCCGCTCCACAGCAGCGAAACGCATCAGGCGCAAATAAAAGACAGAAAACATAAAAGGAAATGAGCCGACATGAACGATTGCATGTTAAATTAGTTTTTGAGGTGGCGACACCTGATTTAATACTGTTACTGTGGCCGTGGTCAGGACGCAGATGTCTGGAGCACGTCAACGATCAGAGCTTTGCATGCACAAGCTGGTTAATATGAGGTTAGGATGGGGTTGAGGGGAAGGTTAAATTGCAAGAGGGTAAACGTCACAATTTGGTTAAATGACCGTTTTTACGGCGGGTGTCAGTACCAACGCTCTGGCACAACGCGTTGCCTCCCGACGCGCAGGAGCTCGTCACCTGCTGACAGCAGGCTGCTGTCTTTTCCGAGGGCTGCATCTTGCCGGTCATTATCACGTGACAGTGATTAGTCGATGACAGGCATAAAAAGTCACTATAGTGAAGTCGACTAGTTCATACAACCCCTATTGCTCCCGTGTTCTGCAGCATAATCAGCACGTTCTCTTTGAACTTGATATAAAATGTTCGCCTCCTCTTCGTCTCCGCACCTGCCAAATCGCGGTCTGTCACTGGCAAATCAAAGGTGAGACAGATGACACAACCCCCCCCCCCCCCCCCCCCCCCCCACTGTGGTACTTGTTTGTTACCACATTCCACCCGGCCACAATAAAATACCGGCAATTATTCACCTCCGCCGACTCCGACGCCGGCCAAAATATGATACCCGGCCGTTAATTGAATACAGGCCAATATTGGAGGATTTACGGTACACAAGCGCGTGTACGCACACAGGTGCTCAAATGGTGCTCACATAAGTATGGACTTGGGCACTTTCAACACATGTCTTAAAGCTGTGGTTGGCACTTAATGCACTGTGATTTATTATCGTGTGATTGATCAGTAAAACAATGTTGATTTTATATTTCCTCAGATGGAGTGATAGCTTGCTCCTGTTGTATTGCTGTGTGTCCCTTTTTCTCTCTCTTCTTCTGCAGGTCTAGAAGCAGACTCTTGTTCATCATTGATTGTTTAGTGTTTTCTCTTTCACCTCTGTCTCCATGTCTGGTTGGAATTACAAGCATTCAAAAAACAAAAACAATAAAGTTTTAAGTATCAAGTGTGACATTAAAAGCAGACACTTTGATGCTCTACCTGAGAATTAACCCTAACCCTACCCTAACCCTCACTATAACAGTGATTTCAAAATGCTCTAAAATGGAAAATTGCTGTTTCCACAGGGTAATTCCACTTTAGATCTACAGTATACAAACCCACAGTGATACCTCATCAATATCAAGTCATTCTGATGTTGCTTTCCAAAATAAAGGCCTTTTTAAATTGTCCACAATTGACCTAATTTTCAGTGATTTCAAAATGCTATAAAAGTGATTTCAAAATGCTCTAAAATGGAAAATTGCTGTTTCCACAGGGTAATTCCACTTTAGATCTACAGTATACAACCCCACAGTGATACCATATCAATATCAAGTAATTCTGATGTTGCTTTCCAAAATAAAGGCCTTTTTAAATTGTCCACAATTGACCTAATTTTCAGTGATTTCAAAATGCTATAACAGTGATTCGAACTGCTCTAAAATGGAAAATTGCTGTTTCCACAGGGTAATTCCACTTTAGATCTACAGTATACAACCCCACAGTGATACCATATCAATATCAAGTCATTCTGATGTTCCTTTCCAAAATAAAGGCCATTTTAAATTGTCCACAATTGACCTAATTTTCAGTGATTTCAAAATGCTATAACAGTGATTTCAAAATGCTCTAAAATAGAAAATTGCTGTTTCCACAGGGTAATTCCACTTTAGATCTACAGTATACAACCCCACAGTGATACCATATCAATATCAAGTCATTCTGATGTTCCTTTCCAAAATAAAGGCCATTTTAAATTGTCCACAATTGACCTAATTTTCAGTGATTTCAAAATGCTATAACAGTGATTTCAAAATGCTCTAAAATGGAAAATTGCTGGTTTCACAGGGTAATTCCACTTTAGATCTACAGTATACAACCCCACAGTGATACCATATCAATATCAAGTCATTCTGATGTTGCTTTCCAAAATAAAGGTCTTTTTAAATTGTCCACAATTGACCTAATTTTCAGTGATTTTAAAATGCTATAACAGTGACTTCAAAATGCTCTAAAATGGAAAGTTGCTGGTTTAACAGGGTAATTCCACTTTAGATCTAAAGTATACAACCCCACAGTGATACCATATCAATATCAAGTCATTCTGATGTTGCTTTCCAAAATAAAGGCCTTTTTAAATTGTCCACAATTGACCTAATTTTCAGTGATTTCAAAATGCTATAACAGTGATTTCAAAATGCTCTAAAATAGAAAATTGCTGTTTCAACAGGGTAAATCCACTTTAGATCTACAGTATACAACCCCACAGTGATACCATATCAATATCAAGTCATTCTGATGTTGCTTTCCAAAATAAAGGCCTTTTTAAATTGTCCACAATTGACCTAATTTTCAGTGATTTCAAAATGCTATAACAGTGATTTCAAAATGCTCTAAAATATAAAATTGCTGTTTCAACAGGGTAGTTCCACTTTAGATCTACAGTATACAACCCCACAGTGATACCATATCAATATCAAGACATTCTGATGTTGCTTTCCAAAATAAAGGCCTTTTTAAATTGTCCACAATTGACCTAATTTTCAGTGATTTCAAAATGCTATAACAGTGATTTCAAAATGCTCTAAAATAGAAAATTGCTGTTTCAACAGGGTAATTCCACTTTAGATCTACAGTATACAACCCCACAGTGATACCTTATCAATATCAAGTCATTCTGATGTTGCTTTCCAAAATAAAGGCCTTTTTAAATTGTCCACAATTGACCTAATTTTCAGTGATTTCAAAATGCTATAACAGTGATTTCAAAATGCTCTAAAATAGAAAATTGCTGTTTCAACAGGGTAATTCCACTTTAGATCTACAGTATACAACCCCACAGTGATACCATATCAATATCAAGTCATTCTGATGTTGCTTTCCAAAATAAAGGCCTTTTTAAATTGTCCACAGTTGACCTACTTTTCAGTGATTTCAAAATGCTACAACAGTGATTTCAAAATGCTCTAAAATGAAAAATTGTTTTTTCCACAGAGTATTTCCACTTTAGATCTACAGTATACAACCCCACAGTGATACCATATCAATATCAAGTCATTCTGATGTTGCTTTCCAAAATAAAGGCCATTTTAAATTGTCCACAATTGACCTAATTTTCAGTGATTTCAAAATGCTATAACAGTGATTTCAAAATGCTCTAAAATATAAAATTGCTGTTTCAACAGGGTAATTCCACTTTAGATCTACAGTATACAACCCCACAGTGATACCATATCAATGTCAAGTCATTCTGATGTTGCTTTCGAAAATAAAGGCCTTTTTAATTTGTCCACAGTTGACCTAATTTTCAGTGATTTCAAAATGCTATAACAGTAATTTCAAAATGCTCTAAAATGAAAAATTGTTTTTCCACAGAGTATTTCCACTTTAGATCTACAGTATACAACCCCACAGTGATACCTTATCAATATCAAGTCATTCTGATGTTGCTTTCCAAAATAAAGGCCTTTTTAAATTGTCCACAATTGACCTAATTTTCAGTGATTTCAAAATGTTATAACAGTGATTTCAAAATGCTCTAAAATGGAAAATTGCTGGTTTGACAGAGTAATTTTACTTTAGATCTACAGTATACAACCCCACAGTGATACCATATCAATATCAAGTCATTCTGATGTTGCTTTCCAAAATAAAGGCCTTTTTAAATTGTCCACAATTGACCTAATTTTCAGTCATTTCAAAATGCTATAACAGTGAATTCAAAATGCTCTAAAATGGAAAATTGCTGTTTCCACAGGGTAATTCCACTTTAGATCTACAGTATACAACCC